TCATTAGTTTTTTTTTTATGATATTACAACACAGCTTTATAGCTGCCCTATCACATAAAAATAGAAATATAACCTCTACCCTTCCTCTAAATATTTAATGACAGCTCACTCTAGGAGTGAAACATATTCCTCTAGCTTTCAAAGAGAAATTAGCATCAGCTATAAGTGGTATTTGATTGTCATATCTATTCAGAAACTCAAAATCAGAAATCAGCGATGAAATTCTGAAATATGCATCTTGTTTTCTTAGACACACTTATTTTGCATCTTAACCTAAATGAAAACAAATACTCAATACAAGATGTGAAAATCTTTATGGACTTTTCAAGATATTAGGAACATAAAAGAGAGACAAGTTTGACTGACTCAGTACTGGAGCATTACCCCGCCCACCACCATCATCATCATCATTTAATGGGTCCCACTTTTACAGCAATTAATTAAGCCACGACTCTCATGAGAATATATTTCTTTGAGTTTGGCAAAGCATAACTCTGGGATATCTGCCCATGTCTCACAGCAAAACTGCTAAAACTCCTACGAGTTGGAAAGGAAGTGCTGAGGCTGCTGTAGAGCAAAATTTAAAGCCACGCACCTCAGAAGGATGACTTGGCTTTGACGTTGTTGTGCGGAAAGGTAAACCGGTATTGGAGCTCTGATTGCCTGAGTAAATGTTTCTGCTAGGTTAGAAGATTTCACTTACAGCTAATTAATCATTAATCTCTTTTTAGAGGAAAGGATGGAAAATAGAGAACCTAATAGCTGCAGGCGATCAGGCTATGACAGAAGATGAATTAGTGAAATAGCAAAATGTTTATCAAAAAGGATATACATACACTGAGTTAAACTAAACAAAGTACTGTTAAACACAATGAAACTTCATTATAGATTTCACTCATCTGCACTAAGCAGTAATTGCATAACTATACATTTGTCACGTATTATACAATAAAGTGTCCAGAGTTATTAACTAATTACTAAAGCTGAGCAATGCAACAACAAATCCTTCTGGTACATTGCTAATGTACAATTAGGAACCACCTAAAGTAGCATGCAGTCCAGATTTTTCAAGCTTCATTAAATAAAACAATTTTTTCTTTTATATAACAATGACAGCTTTTTGGGGGGTGAAAGTTGATGAGACGTTCTCTACTGTAAGTCTAAAGGAGATAAAAATAAGAAGGAGGAGTTAATAATATCATAATATGAAGGATTTCCCCACAAAATTTAAACTGCTCACTGAAAAGCATATTTTCAACAATGACTCCAGTGAAAAATAAATTAATATCACATCATTGAATGCCAGCATGTTTTAAATGCTAACTTCACCAAGGGGAAACCAGGCTGGCACAGAGCTCGACAAATTAAACAAATTAAAATATTACTGAAAATTTCTATTTTAAACTTGGACAAGCTGCTGCTGAAAAAAAAATACTGAAAAAAGCAGTTTCAACAGTTAGAACATCCCAGACTGTAATTACTCAATTTTTATCAGAACTCTTAGAAACCTGGGTCAGCCTTTCTGGTGCAGAACTAGGCTTATTTAAATCCCACCTGAAGGACAGTACTGGACTTTACATCAGAGATCACATGTGGTGTTCCCCAAGGGCCTATGTTAGGGCTCCTCCTATTCAATATCTAGATGCTCCCTTAACCCGGATCTCAGTAAACACCATAAGTTACTTACTATGTAGACGACACATAGCTGTGATTATAAACCCATTTCAGCTTTGGTAAATGCATAAAAGAATACATGCATGGATGGGACAACAGTAGCCTGACGTAGTCCTACTCAATTCTAGTCAGAATATGAGTCTGATACTGCTCCATAGAGCTGTGATTATGGGGCGTGTTTCGAACGAACCAGGAAAAAAAATGCCTCTG